TCGGATCAAGTTTGGCTAATACTGAAGGCCTTGCCGACCCATAAATGATTGATCCATAATCTAGTTTCGAACGAATGAGAGCTCTATATATAAGAAGCATTGAGCTTCGATCAGCACCCCAAGAAGTATTTGACAGTACTTTCAGAATATTCATAGTTTTTAAAACATTTCTTTTTTAGATATGTAATATGGGGGAGGAACGTAAGCTTATGGTCAAATATCATTCCTAGGAATTTTATTTCCTTTTCTACAGGAATCAGCACATCTTGCAGATAAAGTTCGGGGTCAGGGTGAAGAATTTTTTTCGACAGAAATGTACACACACAGTCTTTTGAGTAGAGAATCTAAAACCATTTTCCTGTGACCATTTAACAATTCTATTGAGAGATGTCTGCAATTTACATTCGATGTCTTTCAGGTCTTCTCTCCTGGCAACTGACTTGCAGGTCATCGACATAGAGCATACCCTGGACTGCTAGAGGCAGTTGTTTTAAAACAGAATTAATTTTTATACTAAATAATGTAACACTTAATACACTTCCTTGCGGAACGCCCTCTTCTTGATGGAACATGTCAGAAAGTGTATCGCCTATCTTCACATGAAACTTCCGATCCTGTAGGAAATGTTTGATGAATATCGGCATGTTTTCTCGTAAACCATTGTTATATAGGTCACGAAGGATACCGTATCTCCAGGTGGTATCATAGGCTTTCTCTATATCAAAGAAAATGGAAACATAATGATTTCTTCTAACGAACGCTCTACGGATACCTGTTTCTAAGAGTAGGATATTATTGATAGTTGCTCTTCCTTTTCTAAAACCGTTCTGATAAGGGGAGATACAGTTATTTGTCTCTAAATAATAAACCAGACGAGTGTTGACCATCTTTTCAAAGAGTTTGCAGAGGCAGCTAGTAAGGGCGATGGGACGGTAATTCGACGGATTAGTAGGGTCTTTTCCTGGTTTAACAATGGGGATGACAAAAGCTATTTTCCAGTCATTTGGAAACACTTGTTCCTTCCATACTCTATTAAAGAGAAAGAGGATGGTTGCCAATGACTTGGAAGGAAGATGTTTCAGCATAGGATAGGCAATATCTCTCTGGACCAGGACATGAATTTTTTGTCTGCAGCAGAGCTCTTTTCAGTTCAAGCACAGTAAAATCCTGATTATATGGTTCAGTATTGGGAGAGTTGAGATTAATTAGTTGTTTTTCAATGCATTTTTTTTTTTCGGAAAGAAATTCAAGAGGGTAGTTACTACTGTGTGAGACGGCTGAGAAACTCTGTCCAATAGCGTTGGCAATTTCTTCCCTACTAGTAACTGTTTCACCACTTATCTTTAAAATGGAAAGTGTGTGCTCTTTGTAGATACCGGACGCTTTCCGGACTCTCTCCCACACCTTCTTACCCGAAGTTGAAGAGCTAATCGAAGACACATACGAGATCCAAGAGTTCTTCTGACTTTTCCTTCGCACCTGCCGAGCTTTTGCTTTAGCCCTTTTGAATATTACGAGATTTGATTCTGAAGGATATCGCCGAAAAATGCTCCAAGCTTTTCTTTGTTTTCTGATGGCATCCTGGCATTCAGGATTCCACCAGGGCTTTGGGTATTTTGGCTGTTTACCCAACGTTTTTGGTATACATATATCAGCTGCTTGAATAATTTTATCTGTAATGATCTTCACAGCCTGATCAATGTGCACATTCTTTATTATTTCTTCAGTAAAAAGAGCATAATGTAAGAAAGAGTCCCAGTCGGCTTTGTCCAACAAAAAGCGTGGTGTTCTAGGTATAAAACACACTCCTATTTCCTGTAATGCTTATGATAATAGGAAAATGATCGCTATTATATAGATAATTCTCGACATTAAAAAAACAAAAAGGCAAAAGCTGTGGAGAAACAATAGCAAGGTCAATGGAATGGAAGGTCCTTGTTGGCTGATGAAAATAAGTGCTTTCTGTGTTGTTAAGGATACAGAGACAGTGGTCGTGGGGTAGCTGTTCAATTTGCTTTCCTCGTGGGTTGATGTCTTTACTACCCCACAAGGGATTGTGTCCATTGAAATCACCGACTAGAATAAATGGAGCTGGTAATTGGGCAATTAGATCCTCTAAATCTCTTAAGTTAATGTTCTCATTAGGCGGGATGTAAATACTGCAGACAGTAGTCAGTGTTCGAATGCTCAACTGTACTGCAACAACTGCTTGGAGAGGAGTATCCAAAGGGAGAGCACTCGAAGGGCAATTAATTGAGGTGAGTAGACAGACACCACCACTTGCGCGTTCACTGAATGTCTTATCCTTTCTTGTCATCGAGTACCTACGTAGCTTTGCAAAATTACCAGGTTTGAGGAATGTCTCTTGTATCGCTATACAAATAGGTCGATATTTATTAATAAGTTGCTTAATGCCATCAATACCCTGATAGAAGCCCCGGCAGTTCCACGAAATGAGAGTAGCCATTAGGAATGTTTATTGCTTCGATGCTGTTTCTTTGTTTTGTGAGGTAGAACATTTTTCGAGAGATCTCCGCCTCCATCTGTTTCCATCTCAGATTCGATAAAGTCTGAAAAGGTCCCTTCAATAGAGCTTCGGCTTGAGCTTCTCTTTTCTGAGCTTTTGATTTTCTTTTTTGAACTCTCTGTTTCTTGTGTTTTTATTTCTCGACTTTCTATTGTCTGTTTGGGAGGAGGTAGAAGAAAGACTTTTTCTTTGTCATTTGTTTTTGATTCAGGTATCTTCTTCTGTGTGCTATGCGATGTTTGTGTACTTATTGACCGATATGATTTAGTGGCTTGTGCATAGGAGACATTTGCTTTTGACCGACACGTGCTAAAAAAGTTTCTTAGCTTCAGGATAGGAGATTTTTCTTGTAGTCTTAATATGCTGTATTTCTTTCTCTTCTTTCCACTTAGGGCAGTTTCGTGAGTATGCTGGATGATTGCCATGACAGTTTGCACATTTTGGATCAGCTACACAATCCTGACTTTCGTGACCTCCTGCAGAACAGCGAGCACATGCCAGGTTTCCCCGGCATGCGGCCTTCGCATGGCCAAACCGTTGACACTTGAAGCAGCGCAGTGGGTTCGGCACGTAAGGTCTGATGGGGCAAATTTAGGTAACCTGCCTTAATGGCTTTCGGTAGCTCTGGAGAGGAGAAAGACAGAATAAGATGTTTTGTGTTGACGAGTTGCCCGTCTCTACGGACTTTTATTCGGCGGACGCCACATACATTTTGCTCGGCGAGTTCTTTTGAAAGTTCATCCTCAGAGACTGATATCAAGTCTATTTCCGAAATGACACCTCTTGACGTGTTCAAAGACTTATGTGGGGATACAGTAATAGAATGTTCCCCCATTTTGGTCATTTTTTGGAGAGAGGAAGATTGTGCATCAGATGTAGTCTCGATGAGCAGAGATCCTGAACGGAGCTTTTTTATGTGTTTTGGCTCGCCTACTGAGGCCGCAATATGCTTATGGATGAAGAATGGTGATAGATTTTCTAGCTCACCAGTGATAACTAAGAACTTTGGATATTTGTTTGTGCTAATTAAGGTCGAAGTACAAATTCTTTTAGCAGCTCCAGAATTTTTCGTATCCATATGGTTAGGAGAAGAAGTTAAAGTATTCATATTGAAAAGAGAGAAAGGTTTCGGGCCCGACCCGCCCCACCCACCATGGAGCCCAACAAGGGAACACAGATCCCTGTGTTAGGGCTAGCCGGGCCTATACGCAAACTGAAGCCCCCACAGTCGGCTTTCCCAAAAGCGGAGACTTCCGAGAGCTTATCCCCTAGCCACTGACCAATAGGACTAGTGGCCAGCCGATTGACACTAGCGGGGACAGCTAAGTGCCTCCCGTTTTAAGTAGAAGCAGAGGCCAAAGCAGTGTGTTGGGGACAGTACCTCGCCCCTCAACTGCCAGGATCCTCCTTTCCCACCCTACGGGTCACCATGCACGGCAAACGCATAGGCGGTATTCTCACCATGGTGAGACAGAAACCAAGAGTAGTAGCTGCATCTCACAGTGAGCCCCAACCTCCAGTAGAGGAAACCACAAGGGAGAAAAATAGGAGAGAGAGCTAGACAAGAGGAGAGGAAAGAGAGGAGGAAAGGTCACTGGGGCCCCGGGAGTGTGATACCCGATCACCAAGACGGCAATCCCCTGAGGGTTCTTCACCTGCTATGCTTTAGCTGGGCATGTTGGAACGGCCTTCACGCCTAGGGTGGCCCTACCAGGAGCTATGCTCCCGACGTACTTCGCCCGTTCCGCCCAGTGACAACCCCCGCCACGTTGAGGCAGCATAGCAGGACTTTGGGGGGTGAATCCAATTCGAAGATTAAGGAACAACACAATCTGCAACATTAACTGAAACAGATAATTAGATAATTTTAGCTTAGCTTATACCGTCCGTTATACATTAAATGCGCATGCGATGCGTTTACGCTAGCGCAGAAGGTTTGCAGCTTTGAGGTCCGGATTATAGATCATTCCGGATTAAAGACTTTTGACTGTATATACCTGATTTTTATTACTTCAATAATTAATTAACAATGCTAAGTTAGTCTGAAGTAATTTATAAAATAGTTCATTCGCATCTGGTGGGTGGGTTCAGTCTATTTAGTAATAGTAGCTTCTCTTTCATTCTATTCAAAAACTATTTTATTACTATTATACACACAAGTTGTTCTTTTTGAGTGCGGAAAACTGGATTCTTTTGAGTACTCATAATTTTTTTGCTCTTCAAATAAAATTATCAGTGAAAATGAATTTCATAAAGGGCCCACATCAGAAGACCTCCATTTTCCAACTTGCGGGAAACCGAAAATTCTTTAAATTGGCCTTGGTTGTACTTTAGTATGAGTAATGTTAAAAATAAGCTACAATTCATATGGAAAAAACAAAATTTAAAAGTCAATGTTAGAAAGTCACTCTACAGAATATAGTAGAGGAATCATATATTAAAACACTAGTTTTAAATAATAAAATGACATTACCAACTTTAATGTATCCATGCTTTGAAAAACGATTCAAAACCTTTGTTAAAATATAACCAATTACGCGTGAGTTGTAATATGTTATATATATAACCCAGCTCATGGCCAAAGATAGAGCACAAAGTAACCATGCTAGATTTGAATCGATTGGAATATTCTTCAGAGGTGCAGTGGTGTTCCATGTTGGTGCTGGTATTCGACTTATTGTTGGAGTTCCAGTGCTGCTGTGAGAGACTTCAAATCTAGAAATAAAAAGTTTATAAAAATAACTTCCATAAAAAATGACACTAAAATATGTTATAACTTTTATTCAACAAGATAAAAGAAACTGCATATTTCAAAATAAAAACAAGCACACATTACAGAAACATAGTAACCAAACCTTATAAAATAAATCCTTTCTTTATTGATTAAGTAGTCTTAAAAATCAGAAACACAATCCACATTTTCAGAAGAAGCACCATGTGCACATAACAATGCTAAAGAAAATATTCTGCTTTTATTAATATGTAGATAAAGATATCTAATTTTATTTTTTGTTATTAAAAATGTCAATGTCTTTTTATGCATTAATTTTAACCTCTTAAGATTTGCTCAAGTTTTGTGAAAAATGTTCATAAAAGTATAAATTTTTTTTGGTGAAATTTAATGGTAACTGAATTTCTAATATGTGATTAAAAACCACACACAATTCTACATAAAATATTAATCATATTTTGCACATTTTAACTTAAAATAAAATACCTGTGAATAAGTAACTTCATATTTAAAATTTTTTTGTAAAAGGTAATACCAATAGTGGCTAAGTGGCTAAATTTGCTGCCCACTGGTTGTTCAAGCTGCACTCAAAGCATGATGAATGGATTGGCTGCAAAAGTGTTTTCATAAATTTCCCTATGTTTAAAGTGAATACAAGCCAGTTTCCCTTACAGGTCCTCAACAATGCCATTTAAGTTTTAGTGCAGAAAACTATCACTTGCTTTACCATTACTGCCTAACGAATATGTAAGAGGTGCAATTTTATAGATGGATCTTTAGTATGCTCGATTACCACCTCTGCAAAAATATTCAACCTATAAAAGGTAAATTTTCAAATGGAATTTCAAACAACTTTTATTTGATGTTGGAAAATTAAGAAATGAAATAAATATTAAAATTTGAGAAATCTGGAGAAAGAAAGAAAATAATTAAATTATTTCACTTAAAACAAATTTAAAGTTTAAAAAAAAGCTGAAGCTGTTTAAAAGATGCAGTTGTGAGAAGCATATCCTTTCATGCTGCAAATCATTAGTGATTTTTCTCACACTTTAAAACTGACTTTCTATTACTTTTAATTTTTTAGGACATTATCTTCAGTTATATAACATCAAAATTCATCTCGGTGAAAACAATGCAAAATAATTTTTTAAAAAAAGGAACTTGCTCATTTTAACAAGAAGTATTTAGTACATGAAGGAAATAAGTGGACAGTACACTATAAATTTAAATAAGCAATTCTTGCAAATTTAAAGAGTTAACATCATTCCTTTAATCATTCTTTCAATTCCTTAATTATTCCTTGAAAAATTTTAATATAGTTCTAATTTTAAAAAACTGTTTTGCTTATCATTAGTTTTAAATTAAAATGTTAAATAAATTAGACAGTTAAAAGTCAGCTTTCAAATTTCATTGATAAGAGACGTAGAATAGTAAAACTAAATAATACAAGTTTGGGGTTTCTTAGATTTGATATTATTATTGCTTTTCATTTTTTAATCTCTTGTTAAGTATTTTCAGTGCTTGTGCACAGGGTCTCTGTACAAAGGTACAAACTTACAGGAGGCGTAAGATGCACCCAGAAGACTTGGAATCAGATAGCAACGCAGGGTCTTTCCTGGCGCAGTAGATAGTGCTGGACTGAGCATTCTCACAGGGCAGCATCATTTCACACATGAATGAAGATGTAGTAGGTTGTCTGATTATATAAATGCCAGTACACATTGAGTGTATGGGTCCACTCAAACCTTACATTTGGCAAACAGTGGATCTTTCTTTTTTTTTTTTTTTTTTTTTTTTTAATTACTCCATTTCCTATCATAAATGTTACAAAATTATCATTATAAAAACAAAAATTTTATATTGTCATCACAGTGTAAAACGTCCAACTTATAAACTATTTATTATGAGCTAAGAAGTTAAACAGAAAAAATTCCATACCTTTATGCTTAAGATTCAATGCTACAGATCAAGTGATATAAATAATTCTCTACTGGTGCTGTTTTACATATTGTATATTTGCTCTTTGTAATTGTTTTCCTGAGGTGAAAAGATAATGGAATATTTATTCATAATTGAAAATATACACAGAAAATTGATTAACATCAACATATTTGTTTTATAATATATTCCTGAATTTTTCGCATAAAGATGTAGAATGTTTTGCATTCAGTTTATTTAAAGCATAATTAAAGTTTATTGACCGGGCATTTCACTCTTAAGAAATCATATGAATGGTTTTTACTTTCAAAACCATTCAACCCAGTAGTTGAAATTTCTCATAAAAATGTGTACTTTATTTTGAGAAATTGTTTAACTGGTTATGTATGTCTGGAATAATTATACACTCCAAACTTCCTCTAATAAATTTTAAGGGACTGGAAGTTTGATTCACTGCATCCAATCCGATAAGAAAATTGAAATATCTTACAAAAAACTTTAAAAATAAACTAATAACTAAAAAAATAGTTTCCATTATCACATCTACCAAAATAAGGTGAAATTATTAAAGTTGTTTTTCATTTTATCATACATTAATAATTTATAATTTTACACAGTAAATTGCTTAGAATAAGTCACAGTTTAGATGCTTCTCATAAAATACAATCTCTCTCTAACCATGCAGGATGCAGGAAACCATGCAGGAAAGTAGAATGCTTAAACGTAAAACCTTCAAAAAAATGAAGATGGAACTTGAAGAGGATTTTAAACCCTCGAACAATACCAACCAAATAAACATAAAATTTCCTAAAAGATGACCTGTACACTATCACACTGATAAGAACCTGTTCACTTCCCTGAAGAGCGGAAAAATCAAAATTTCCATCATAATACCAGCCTTGAATACAGATTTCTCTTGCACCTCAATCAAAAATCTTGAATTAGAGATCGCACTTAAGCATTTGGCCACTGCATAACATAATACAGTTTTCTCAGACATGCTTATTGCGAGTACTTGTTTTCCAAAAACAGCTGCCTTGCATAATCTTTATTAGAAAACAGAAAGAAGTGATGGTGAAGGCAGAAAAAAGAAAAGTAACATTAAGCTTTTTTTTTTTTTCCCCTGCCTATTAAGCATAAGCATTTATGAGTTCAAGTTTTTTTAAGAAAGCTTGTTGTAATTTATAGCGAACTACTAGATATCATAAGGAAAAACAAGAATTTCCGATTAATGGAATATCAGAAGAAATGCTAAATGAAAATTATATAATTGATGTCTTACATTGTAATGACACTACCTCAATGATCAATCAATTAACAGAACAGCAAATAGTGGTAGTATTATTTTAAATTCAGAAAATATTGCCATTTCAGCTTTTGAGTCACAATTTAATTTCATGTGATAATGATATCAGAAAATTATCTCCTTCATGAAAAATACCTTTTTCTTAAAGAAATATAAATAAAGAATATTCATTTCATAATTTCTACATGTCACCTTAATAGATTTAAACTGATGATTTAATATTTAAAAGTTTCCAAAGTCTGGAATCACCAAAATCCTGACGATTCCAAATCTCGGACATTCTACTGTACTTCAAACAGAGTGATGTTCTTAAATCCAAGAATTAAACACAAAACTTTTCCAAATAATATAAATTTTATGTAATAATCAAATGGTTACAATAATCAAACAGCAAAGTTTGTAATAAAATTATTACTTGATACATAAAATGAAAATAATAAGTCAAAGAATTGCACGAACTCGGTATCCATGTACACATCGACCTATTTTCACTTAAAAAAAATCAGAGAATTGCACAAACTTGGCATTGTGCATTATCTTGACTTTGTCCATGTACACATTGTGCCGGCTCTGCTAGGATCAAACCAAAATGACAAGAGCTTACAGATAGTGATATCATACTTTAAATTAACTAAAATATTTTAAGTTAATTGTTATTAAAGTAAGAGTATGCAAGGATGAAGGCACAAGATCAAAAATATATTAATAAAACAAACTACAAAAATAACAATAAATTCTCAGTCACTTAAACTTACTTTTGTAAATTATTTATCATAAAATATATACATCCTATGCTTACAAAATATTCAAATCTTTTAGAATTTCGTAGTATGCAATTTCTCTATATAATATTTTGGATCACTTGCTTAGCACTATATCACGTGTGCACTATTATATGCATTATAACAAAACCGAGTTTCTGCAATATCTTCTAGTCCTATTAACTACATATACAATATTTAAAATAAAATGTAAGTTAAAAATTACACATCCTCCTTTACTATAAAGGACATCAACGGGATTTTATTTAGCATTTCCTACAGTTTTATAAGAAATATCGAAATTTCCGCTGCAATTGGTTAAGATTACTTTAATTTTTTAAAGACTAAACAAATAAAAGCGCTTTAAACTTACACTGAAGAATCCATTTAAAATTATGAAGCTAATAAATTGATTATAATTACATATTTACAAGGAAGTAAATACAACTTCACAAGCAGAAACTGCTAACACACGTTTCATTAAAGATCTCCGTACCGAAGTTTATTTTTCTGTTTTTCAAAACATTAGATAAAATACATTCAGGAACGACTCTTTCTAAACGAGTCGCGACATACTGATTTCATGACTCTAAAAACGTCATTAACGCTCCTCTAAACCAGGCTGAATCACCAACTTTTCTCTCTTGGCGAGGGAGTGAACGCGCTGCCAATTTTGGCGCGTTTATCGCACACGCTGGCTGAATGTCTGCTGTTTTTTTAAAGTTTTATTTTATAGACGCGCGGCATTCAGCGCATATAAACTTTTCGGATAATTTATTAATTCTCGAATAGTATATAGACGTTTTCACTTAAATAAAAATTTCGCGTATATTTTGTAAACATATTCAAAATAACTTATTCTTTAGATGTTTCAGTTTCGTTAGCAGACTAAAATAAATAAGATATGAATAAAAACTTTCAATAGTGTCAAATGGGGAAATAGTTAAAGCGTAGAGTGTGTGCAAATAAATTTATCTTAATGACATTTTAACAAAAATTTCCATAAAAACACTGTAAATTCATACTAAAAAAATAACTTAAGAATATGTTGTCATTTAAGTCTGAGGTATATGGAAATAATTGTGCAAGATTCTGAAGAAACACTTTCTTTTAAATGTGTGAAATATTTCATAACATATATGGAAGAAGAAAGTACAGCATTCTGTGTTTTGGATGCTTTTCATCAAATGTAATATAAATACGAACTAGAAACCGTAATAAAAAGTCCTTCCTCTTCAATCAGATCACCTTTGTGTTGCATTGTATTTGTAATACTTCTAAAAATCCAATTTTTACCTAAATTAAAAAACAGTTATTCCATAAAAGATAATAACTTTGAACGTATATAGAATGAATTTTGTAATTTGAGTTATGTTACAAAATAATTCATAGTTTATATATTTTATACTAATAATTTAGATAAAACCTGTCCAATTTAAGAATGTGTGTTAACCACATTCTTAAATTGTAAAAGGACGACTTAACCACATGTAATTCATTTCAAAGCATAAAAAAAGCTTATTTTTTATTTTACACAGCAACAGCATTTTCATGCAGTCAAGTTTTTTTAACTGCTAGTTATTATACATAATACTTAATTTTAAACCCATTCTTATTAGAAAGCATAACTAAGAAACTTCTTTTTAAAGCACCACAGTGATTGCAAAGAATGTCGTTAAATTTACAAAAGTATTGAAGATATATTGAACAGCATTATAACAAGAAAGTACTGTACAAAATATGTAAATTTAGCATAACTTCTTTTTTAGTATTTGCATAGTTTCCTCCAAATGAACCTTAATGGGAAGTTATCTTGCGAAAAAATTTAAAAGTATTAAAATGGCCTCTATTTAAGATGTAACTGCATTTATAATTATTTTGTAATTGCGAATAGATTATATTATTGCAATTAGATTATGCACTTACAACATAATTGCATAAAGTAATGAAATTAAGAGTTCACAGATACAATGTAATATAATTACAATGCAATTACCTAAATTGTAATTATAATCACTTATTTAATACCACAATATTATTACAATCACAATGTAATTTAAATTGGGTACTATATTTGCATACCCTCCACTCAAAAGGAGGTACTGATAAGCCTGGAAGTTATTATCAACAAAAAGCCTGTTCAGGACAGTTTGATGACAATTTCCACCGGGCGAAAAGTACATTCTTAAGCCCAGGCAAATCATGACAATAAAAATCATTTAGTCTTATGATTCACTATATTTTAAACCCTAAATTTGAATTCTGCACCAAATTATTTACCTATATTTTAACATACTTTATGAATTATTAGAAGCGATATGGCAAATATCTTCTAAAAATAACTGTAAAATATTTGTATCCATTAATTGATTCAGATACACACTTTTATTATTTAAGTATATCAAAATAACAGTTTCATGTTCCTGAAATACAAAAATTATGGAAAAAGTTAAAGTAAATATTCTTAGAAGTATATGATATTAGTCACCAGATGCAAAGCCTAAACGGCCTTAACGAAAAGATATACCCTTTTGAGAGCCATTCCTTCAATTGCACTTTTGTTGTATTAGCGATTGTAGAGAAATCGAGCAAATAGATTAGCGCGAGACTTAGGTGGGATGAACCAGCAGATTTGTTTGCTGAAAACGGTCAGTTGAAGCAAATATTCTTGTCGCTTAGTGTAGAAGTAAATTTTATGGAAATAGTGTATATAAACAAAACAGGTAATACAAGCTGTTGCAGAGTGCTTCGTTAAGTTCCAAAAACCCAGAACTATGTTTCCATAAATTTCTGAATGTTAAGAATAGTCTTTGGATCTAACGTTCTTGCTGGAGTGGGAATAATAAGAGTGCGACGCTTTGAATTACAAATATGTGTGTATATTCCAAGCACTTCATTCGCAGTAATTGTAACTTACTACGTAAGTATATTTCTTATTTTCTGTTTATTATTTTTAATATCACAATTTGGGATTTAGGGGTTTATAAATGTTTTCATTCGAAAGGAACGTGGTATTCTGTTAACAATAGAAATCGGATAATTTTGTGAGTGTTAGTTATTTATTTTAAAGTGTTTCTTTCCCTCACTAGATAGAGCGAGCGGTTCCACTAGTGAGAGAAAACTTAAACTTTGCTTGTTTTTCTTTCTTCTTCTTTTTTTTTTTTTTTTTTTTTTTGTTATGGTGTGTTGGTGTATTTAATTATGGCAAAGCACACTAGGGCTATCTGCCTAAGAGGAGGGATGCCTTTCGTGGAGGACTTTCTAAGGGAAACTGGCTCGTATACACGTTACACATGAGGAAAACCACGAAAACACCCATGCAGCCAGCCCGTTCGCGGGATTCGAACCTCGGACCGAACTACCAGTGTTCAGCGACTTTACCGCTCGGCCGCTAGTGGGCAATTTAAGTATTAAAATATGATATTTAGAAAACATAGCAGACTACCAGCCTGCCTTCGTGGTGTAGTGCTCAGCACACTGAGCCGGTATTTCAGAGATCCGTGGTTCGATTCCCGGCAAAGACGTTGCGTTTTGTTATAATAGACAGTGAGTTTTCAGTTTCAGACGTGTGCCAATATGGATGAGTAGCTGATTTTACAGCCATGAATGAGAAAAAAATGGCTGTTTAAGTAATAGCATTTCAATATTTGTTTTTCCTTTTCAATGCTAAATATGAATTAAAATTTGGTGTCACGAAATAAATTGTTTTTTCGATTAAGAAGATGCTTTTTTCCAACTGAGACATCAGGTTCACAATTTCAGCTCTCCAGTAGAGGTAAATGAAGGTTTTTCTTATTTTTAAACCAGAGTAATAAGTAGAACCTACACGCATCAGGGAATGCTGACAACTTCAATCAACAGCAGCTTATCAATTGCTTCATATAAATCCTCTAGCGTCCGCCACTAGGACGTGTTATCATAAAAAATGACACATGAATGAAAGTTATTTAAGCTTTTCAAAACGGAAGCACTTGAGTAGTGTTTACCATCTAAAGTTGAATTGTGTTGAATGAAAGTATTTTAATATTTAAGCTGAAAAGTAATAGATATTTAATATTTTCAGCATAAAGATATATTAGAAGTTTTATATTCTTGAATAAAGTGTGTGTTTTAATTTTATGAAAGAATGTTATTGAATTTAGAGTGTTCTTAAAGTACCGAAAAACATTTGTTAATGAATAGTGTTCAGTCATAGTTAGTCACAGTGAGTAATTATAGAACAGGGATAAAATACATTCAAAACATTAAAAAAGAAACGTGCTCCTTTACGTGCATCGTTTATTAACACATGTAATATTCTGAAATCGAAGTTAGAAAAAGATTCTTCCTATAAAGGTGAAATTTCTGATTTATATGCTAAAATCGGGAGGATCATGAGTGAATTAAAGGTTTTAGATAACAGTATAATAGATTTATTAGTAGATGATAAAGCAGATGAGTTGCGAAAGAGACGGATGAAAGTCCATCGTTGCGAAAGAAATGTTTTGATCAATTCACACAAATCGTATTTTATTCTCAATTGTCAAGATGTAGAAACATCTTTTTACTCGACTTCTGATAAGGATCGGGTGGGAGGAGAAAGAGTAGGGTTGAAGGAAGTGTGGGAAACGGAAAAAAAGAGAATGAGGTCGGCACTAGCGGCGGCGAAAAAAGGGGGGGTGGCAAGTTCAGTGTCGTTATAAGATGTAGCCATGGGTGGTAAACCGCAGAGTCAGTTTAGCGTGAATGAGTCAATTAAGGTTGTAATTCTTATGTGGGTAGGATGTCCCATGGGTACCGATGTTTTTCTCTCGGGTGCGGGGAGTGTCTGAGAGTGCTAATAACCTTGGGTTTGTACTAAATAAAAGAGGTTGACCGCTAATCGTTTAATATACTCTTGAATAAGTTCGATTCGAAAGTCTCTGTGAATATAGATGTTTGGAATACACAAAGGAGCATTGATAATTTCTCGTAGAATTTGATCAATTCATCACCATTAAAAAAAATTTAGTGGATTACTAAATGTAAACAAAATTCCGAATGACACAGTTCTTAGTAATTCTGATGTCAGTAGAAACGCTAAAGCTAAACAGCATAAATTACCTGAATTAAATATAAAAACTTTTGATTCTCATTTACTAAATTATTTGTCCTTTCGATAACAGTTTAAGAAGATAAAGAATTAGATGATGTTGACAAGTTAAAATATTTGCTGCAAGCTGAAGAAACTGGAACTCGAGCTAGGCATTTATTAGTAAATTACCGAATAACTTCAGATAATTACTCGTGAGCTTTTAAAGAGCGTTATGGGGATAAAGATATTCTTATCGAAGTGTATGTCAGGGAATTTTTTTAATTAATGACAGCAAATGTTCTAACTACGGCTAAAGACATATTATCATTGTGTGACTTGTTTGAGCACATTTAAGGTCTCTAGAATCCACGGGGCTTGATGCAGAAAATAATTCCGACTGGCTGTATCCCGTGACAGAATCCTGCTTACTTGATAACATTTTAAGAGCATGGCAGAGATACAAAGTGGAAAGGAAGATTCTGATATTGAAGCGATGTCGAGATTAACGTCCTTAATGAATTTTTTTTAAGAGAGAGGTAGCGCGCGAAGAAATATTACAGTTAACTTGGTCAGGCTTTGAAAGTATTATCTCAAAAGATAAAGTAAAAGAGAAAATGCTGAAAAAGGATAACAAGTACCGTACTGCAACTGGTTTATTCGCTGCTAAAGAAATATCGTGTTTGTTCTGTGGTAAATTGCATGAAAGGAAGGACTGCGTAGTCGCCAGATTGTGCTCTCTGGAAAAAAAAAATAAAGGAAGTTAGGGAAACGTTCTGTTGTCTGAAATGTCTACGGTTCAACCACCGTGCTAAAATGTGTAAAGTTTTTGCGCTTTGTCATGTCTGGTCAAAGGAAGTTGCACTCATGACACTAGAAATATTAATTAAGAGTAATAAGAAAATTAAGAAATTCTTTACTGGACAGTGGGTTCCAAAGGGGTTGCATTTTGAACAGCACCGCGAAAGAACTTAATCTTCTCGCTATAGCAACTATTACTCAAACGGTATTTGAAGGTGCATATACAGAAGCTAAACCTCATAGTAGATATAAAATGGAATTCAGTGCACCGGCTAATGGCCGCAAATCAATTCCCACAACCGAATTCTTGACCAAGATAAGATATGTGGGAAAATTCCGCGCATTCCTAAGGTGTGTGTTCTAGAAGAGCTTAAGAAAAGTAGACTGTGGATATCAGATATTGGGACTGGGTGTCCAGAAGTAGAAATTTTAATTGGTAGCGAAACTTATGTGAACTCATAAGGGGTCGAATGAAGAAGCTAACGGGAATTCAGACAAAATTTGGATGGACAATTTGCAGTTAGTTAGAGAATCCATCCGAAGGTTACGTGAGTAGTGGCACAACTGCGTTGATGACTAATTTTTCTCTCAGAGAACTGAATATTCCAGATGTGTGAGAGCTAGAAAGAATAGGAATTAATGATTCCACTCAAACGTTGTCTAAGAAGGGAGAAGAAGAGCTAGCCCATGACATGTTCCTCAAAGAACTTATTAGAAGTGAAGAGGGGCGTTACCGTGTTGGTCTTCCACGGACTTGTGTTAAACCAAACATTCCCTCAGATAGAAATGAAGCAGAAAGAAAATTGTTTAGCACTACCAGAAGACTGAAGAAGTTATATAAATTTTATGATTATGACCTAGCCTTTAAAGAATGGCAGAAAGTGAATGTCACACAGGAAGTCAAAAAAAAAAAAAAAAAAGAGGAGGACATTTAAGAGGCCATTACTTGTATCACCGCCCAGTTATTAGAGTGCCATTACATCTATCAGACCAGTTTTTGACGCCTCGTAAATAGTTGAAAGAGCAACAACCCCAAATGACTGTATCTTCAAAGGGCCTAACTTAATAGAAGAAATTCTGGCCATATTATTGAGATTCGAGAAACGGCTATTGCTGTTATGTCAGACATTAGAAGAGCCTTCCTCCAAACTGAAGTTAAAGAAGAAGATCGTTGATTTTTGAGATTTTTATGGGGGGTGAAAGCAGATAAAATTAAAGTCCACCAGGATAACAGTGGTGTTTGGAGCTACTTGTTGTCCATTTTTACTCAGCGTGTTTATAAGGTACCATTTGAACAAGGATCCAGAAGAACTCAGAGCAGTTCATGATCAGACGGAATACCCCTATTTTACAAGAATTGGAAAATATGTAGTGCAGTAATATTTAAATGCTGAAATAGAAAAAATAAATAAATCAAATAAATCAAGGCCATTTATTTTGTATCTAAACTTATTTTTAAAGCTTTTGTCTATTTTTGGAAATTTGCTAATTATTTCAAATCTTTGCGCATGCGCAAGAATTCTTCGTCGAAACTAGTAGATTTTTCCTTGATGACAAAAAATTCATAAAACGGGCTAGGGTTTGGAAATACGCTTCTTAACTTTGTGCAAACTACCATCATCGTCTCGGTGTTGAAACTACTCAGGTTTCAGGTTTATTCGATGTTGCAGACGAATTTGAAATGCCACTTATAAGTCATAAGAGTTGCCAATTTATGCATCATGGGCCAGTCCGGTATACTTGCATCCTTCTTCCGGCGATCCTTCACAGTTTTATTTTTTGAAGCCAATGCCTAAGGCCTTGAACGTTGCCTCATGACAATGGGTCAAAACTTATGCCCCCAGAAGCCCCATGTCCATGCCCATGAACGTTTTACGTTCGACAATGTGGCAACCTCTCATCGCGGTTCTCGAAAAGTGATGCAATCGTTGTTATATTTACTTTGAGTGAATGGATTATCAGTATTAGCTTAAGAATAACATATTAAATTTTTGTGGTTATGCGTTGTTTTATGGTTACTCAGGCGAAAAGAAATCCGCCAAACCATTTTTTTACTCACATTAAATATGAGCATCTCTTAGCGGGAATTAGTGGCGGCGTTACCTCGACTTTAGTTCTTCATCCATTGGATTTATTGAAAATAAGATTTGCTGGTAATTTTTGCATTCGAATTACTACCCGGTGTCTTGTTGACACAAAATAATGTAAATATTTATTTTATTATTAATACTACAATTAGTTCTAATGATAACTTTTTTTAAATTGAATAGCAAAATTTTTATTTTATATGGCCAGGGCCGGATTTAGACTTGATAAGGCCCTAAGTTATTTGAGATACGGGGCCCTTTATAAATTCAGATATTATATCTCAATGCCAAATATTATTTTCAGATACCTAGAGGGGTTTTTTCGAGCGAGCACGAGGAAACTTGTGTAGCTTATACGTAAATCCTGCACTGCATGTCACCTGTGCACCACCTGCACTGCACTGGTGCGTCATGGCTGAAGCTATAAAACACTGGTAGTTCATTCTGGTGGCTGAACATAGTTACCTAATTACGTGACAATTCCATTAGAATCGTGTATGATGCTATTTCTCCTCTTTGGCAGCTAGCCCTTCAATGATTTGCTATAATTTAGTTGTACATTCTAGATATATATTCGTTTGCATATAATGTATTTAAGAGTTAATTTAGTTTTTGCCTTTTTCTCATTACACTTTTAAGAAGTAAACTTGCATGCTGAGAATTTACGTCTAAAATGTAAATAAATAGTTTATGGTTTTTGTGATTGTTCGAACTTGGTTTATGCTGTTCTCAGTTTGGATCTATTTTAGTGGAGACTGCAGTCTCTTTTATTTCTTGTTAAAATGGTATTTGTATGTAATGCAATTCATGTGCTTAAATGTGTTTTAAAGCAGTTTAACTCTGCTGCTGCTTTTATAACCACCTCTACTTTTCATGAATTGGTAATTATTGATGCCAAATTTTTTAAACCAATGCACTATTTCAGTAGTAAAAACTGAAAAATTGCTTGATTCATTTTAAATAATAAATTTTATGTTCTCTGTATTGTAATTTAACTAAAATTAGAAATCCACAGCTTAATGTAAATCAGTAGAGTTTGATTTCTGGCTACTTCAGAGCTAGTTTTAGATGTATATTAGCATAATTTGCTGCAAAACATGTTACATTTTTCAAACCTATAAATGTTCTTTGGTATAATATTGGCTAGTAATTTCAATATTTTAGTAATACTTATTTCAAATTATCTTTTTATATAGTTTTGTTGGTAGAGTGATGCTGGTACAATGCAAGATTAAGTATGAAAGAAATTCAGAATGCAATATTTTTAGTTGAATAATTTTGTCTTTAAATTATAAGAGTTATAATGTATTGTAAATTAATAAGAAAAACTGAGCCATCGTGCTGAGTACAAGTTTATCAAAATTAGTTTTCAGTTATATTGCTGATATTTTCAGTACATCTCTAATACCCTTAAAAATATGAAAATGTACGTGCATTAGAAAATCGAGGTAATTAAAAATGAATTTTCTTAGTGTAGTAGCAGGTTCCAAAAAATGACCTTGGAGGTCATATGTAGGTTGCAGATATGCAAGCTTCATTATTCATTAACTTCCATGATTAAATTAGTTAATAGAAAAATAAAAGTTGTATATTTTGTAGAATTTTTATGCTATTCATAGTGCTTTATAACTTTTAGTTTCCCCATTACTGAAATACGATTGTACTTAAAAACATGATAATTTTGAATCAGTTAAGGTATTTAAAATATTTATTTATAGTTAATGATGGTCAGCTCTTAACTAGACCCAACTACCATGGACTGGGAAATGCTGTTTCTACAATAATCAAAGAAGAAGGCATTCGAGGTTTGTACAGAGGTGTTACACCAAATTGCTGGGGTGCTGGTGCATTCATGGGGCTTCTATTTCCTTTTGTAAGTAGCGTGGAACTTTTATTCTAGTCTTATGCGAGTTATAACTTTTTGTTTTTTGTAGTTCCATAATATTTTAGGAAAATAATAAAAAAAAAAAAATCTTTAAAAAAATTAATAAACCCTATGAAAGCAGTTTCACTCTAGTTAGTTTCATGGATACGTGCATATTAATGCAATCATGGGCAAAGGGTTAGAGTAGATTGAAGGGTGCGCTTTGGATTATCGCTAAGTTGTTGTTTCATTTATCGCCAAGTTGTTGTTTCATTTATGGGTAGTTGAATGCTATGGAAACCCTATTATGACATAATTGGTTATGTGATTGCAGTGAATTTGAATGATGGGATGATAAGAAGTATGTTGTTACTGTGTGGTTTTACATGGAAAAATGGCTGAATGTTATAGGATTAATTTGAAGTTTTTGTACGATTTGGAACAAATCGTACTTTTGTTCCAAATCGTACAAAAACTTCAAATTAATACAAAAAGGTAAGAACGAAAGGGGGGGAAGCATTAATTTACTGGTGTGTAACTCAAAATTGCTCAAATTGCCACTTTGCTTACTCAAAATTTTAGTTACTCAGCATTTAACACATTATGCACCAATTCTGTTTTGTCTTCCTTTCGGTTTAGCCCAATAAATAGGTCCAATTTCACCAATATGCTGGTGGTTAGAAATCTATGTAGAATTTGCTAGAATAATATAATTCTTCAAATTGTCTGTCAACGGTGAGTAACATGGCTGAAAAAAGTACATTGTCGGTCACTGTTGATTGACACGGTCTAATGGAAAGTATGCTATCAATATGTGGTGACTGATTTGGCTCCTTAACATGTTAAACATTTGATATTTCCCCATATTTGAAAATTTTATTTTCGTTTTACATGAACAGTTTTACTTTAACTTCCAATCAGTTTTACAAAAATAAATAAAAAATAAAAAAATAAAAATAAATAAATAAAATAAAATTGTCTCATTAATGCAGTACCTGCATATTTTGCCCACAAATTCTATGGAAGTGAAAATTATAACTCTGCTGAAATTTGTTAAATGATGTAAAAAGTATTTTTCTCAAATACTTGCCCTCTTCATGAAATCTCCAAAATATTTGTGTAAATGAAAGCAAATGTTTATCAACATGATTTATAACATTATTTTTCTATCACAAAATAAAGCAAGATGTTACATATTGCTAAATGGGCGAGATATGACTTGTGTTATAAGCCTATTAGGGCAAATATGATCCACAAAATAAAACTGACAAACCTGTGTTTGAAAACACAGGTTACATTTGGAATTGCTAATATTAATGTAAAATAATGCATTTTTAAATAAATGCAGTTACATTATATAGAATAATTGATAATGCTGTTGTATTGTTCCCTTATTTTGCATAACAAATTATGCTAAGTTTGTCATTCTTCCTGAACCTCGCATTTCCTCGCAAGGATTCAGACTCGAAGATAAGTGAAGTGAGTATTTTTTTTTTTTTTTAAACGAGTGAGTCTTGCAGTTTATTGTTGCTAATATGCCGTTTTTGGCCATTTAATAAGTATAACACTGGGTAGGTTATTGAGTCAAACTTGTTAGCCTTAACTTATATTGTTAGTATTGCAGTACTCTTTATCTCTTGAATTTATTGTATAACGATTCTTAAGTTCCACCACATGTTACAGTTATAATTGTTATTGTAAGCATGAAGTACGTGCCTTTTCTATGCAGAGTTTGATGAATAATAAAGGGCTATTTTTACCCTTCTTTTCTGTGCTGGTATTCTTTATGCCTGTGCGAGAAGTCACCAGGTGTTGAAACTAAATAACGTTTGCATAATCTGAGTTCAGAAAACAAAACATTTATTTTACATATTTTAAAGAAATAACGTTCTGAAACAACTTACCAGCGCGGCAGCTGTTGCTAAATCTGAATTACCTGAAATAACATTTTTATTAAGACGCTTAACAGAATGAGTAAATCCTGATTGTGCTAATCTGATCATTTCTTCCGATTCTACTTCATGCCTTAAAAAACACATTAGTTTTTCAAGCGTTCTTTCAGAACTCTTTTCCTGTCCCTGTTCAGAAGTTCGACTCCGCTCCCAGGCACGTAGAATATTCTCAGGTAGGCACGACTCCACTAAAGGTCCCAAGAAAAGAAATCAGCAAACTTTTCCTTGGTGCGTCCTAAGCTTTCCAGCGCTCGTAATTTACTTTCTATACTATCATAAAGTACTCCTAAGTCCGACGCCGTTCTGCCTGTTGTAGCATTCTTTGTAACAAGCCCAAGCAAATCTCTTACATAGATCTGCACCAGAAGGTCTTCTCTACCAAAATCTTTCTTTCAGCTGCTCGATAGCTTTAGGATAATTCGCGGCGGGAAAACAGGAACAGGAAAACTGTTCAAAAGTTGAGCTGCCTTTGAGCCAGGTACTGCACTTTGCACTAAGTACAAAAATTTATCTTCCGGCACAATATCCGCATCTTCATGAATTTTGGAGAATTGGCTCCAAAAGCCTAAAAATTCTCTCTTGCATCTCCAGAAAATTTTTTCAGTTCAAGTTTAGGAAGTTTGAACTTCCTGTTTTTATTTTCTTTAGGATCCGAAATCGAAAGTGAAGCAATATCTGTAGTAACATTCATCGAATTCAATTGTCCAATTTTATTCTGAAGTTTCACCTTTAAAGCTATAAAGGAATCTCTGTATCCTTCAGCCGTATTAAATTCATTCTCGAAAATCCGCTTCCTTGGTTTGTTCTAAAACACTGCTTTGAGTACTGTCCAAACGTTCAAATTTGTCAATTAGTTGCCCCAACAACACTTGCAATCTCTCAGGATCCGTACAAGTAGGCAATTCTTCTTCCACAATTTCGTAGTTAAGTAAACGAAGTACGTTCACTTTACGTTTGCCTTTAAAACTCCATTTAACAAACGCCTAAATCAAAACTACTCGAAATCACACAAACGGACGCCAAACTTTATGTTGAAACTAAATACGTTTGCATAATCCGAGTTCAGAAAACAAAACATTTATTTTACATATTTTAAAGAAATAACGTTCTGAAACAACATGTTTCATCTACACAATCAATCGACGCTCTCACCAGAGCATTACGCCATCAAACTTGGCACACATCCAAAAGTTCAAATTGAAGAATTACAGAAGCGTTGTTGCCACACAAGAAAAGACATATAGTTACAGCTTCACACAATAATAAAACAAAAACACACTTTTGAAAAATAGACAATAATAATAAAAAAATAGTAATAATAAAATTCTTAACAATATTTTCTCGATTATGCAACATCCTCCCCCCTTTTTGAGTCAGTGGCAAACGACTCAAAAACATATGTTATCCTATTAAAAAGGTCTAGTACATTAGGCTTCTTAACAAGCCGTCCTGACGACGTAAATTTCTGTTTTATATGCTGTAGGTCAGTCTGGTCGTTTTTTTTTTATCGTCGTTAACGTTAGGCTCTTCAACTAAATAATTTTCATCTAGTTTGTATCTCTAGTGGATAAATACGCTGAACGGGCCTTATGAAAATCCCATTCTGAGTTTTTAGTTTAAACTGTTGCCATTCCGACCAGGAATTTTCTCTATAATTTTACCCAAAGGCCAATACAAGCGTTTTTTGAAATCATCGCCTATTAAGACTATCTCCCCAATTTTAGGCAACCGGGTTACTTTATTTTGTGGTTGTTTCATTATTAATTGCCCCAAATATTCTTTTCGGAAACGGTTCCTTAAATCTTTAAGAAGTTTTGTGCGGTATTTAATTCTTCTCAAAAAATGCTGAGAGTCAATTTTATCTATATCTGCTACATTCGAAGTACAATTTTCAATTAAAACAATTGACGGAGTTAAAGGGATAGCATCTTCAGAGTTCTCCGAAATATATGTTAAAGGTCGAGAATTAATTACCGACTCACAATCGCAAATTAAGGTTTCCAGTTCTTCATAAGATAAAACCGATTTTCCCAAAGAACGTCTTAAAAGTTCTTTAACCATGCGAACTAGCCGTTCCCACCAACCTCCCCACCAGGAGGCTGTTGGTGGATTGAATTTCCATACTATTCTCTTTATTTTTGCCTCATTCTCTATTATGTCCCAGTTAAGTTTAGACATTTCGTTATACGTTCCTCGGAAGTTAGTCCCATTGTCAGAATAAATGGTTCGTGGTCTGCCACGTCTGGCTATGAAAACGTCGTCTTAAAGCCAAAAGAAAAAAGATTCTGTTGATAACGAAGTCACCAGTTCTAGATGGATTGCCCTGTACACAGCGCATGTGAAGAGTGCCATCCAAACCTTCTTACCGTCTTTCAAAAACAATGGGCCAGCTAAATCTACTCCCAAAATTTCAAAAGCCCTATAATCTCCTACGCGATCTTCAGGAAGAGGAGTCACTTCGCAAGACATCGGTTTCGCTTTATATCGTTGACATATTACACACCCTTTTAACACATTACGCACAGTTTTACGTTGTTTTTTTAGTATCCAGAATCTTTCTCTTAAAATAGATTGAAGCATTTGAGTTCCAGCATGACAATGTTTCTTATGAACTGACTCAATTAACAATGTAGTAAAGATACATTTACTCGGTAACAAAATTGGTGTTAAAAATTCAGAATTGTCTTTGCGTTCCAATATTCTAGTTTTAACTCTTATAATTTTTTCATTATCAATGAATACATCAAGTGGATTAAGAGCTCCAATGTCAGGGAAATTTGAGCTTTGAACCAACCGAATCAAAACTTTTTCGGAATTTATGATTTCAGCAACAGTTAGTTTAGATTCTTTACACAAAATTTGACTTCTTCCTACAGTTAGAAATAAAACGTAACACCCAACCGGTTACACGAATCATTTTTTCATAATCAGAAACTCTTTCTGCATACCAAGGAGTGGTATCCTCTGAAAAGTTAACATTAATAAGTTTTACCTTCCTCTTTTCCAAGTCAGCTTCGCTCGGCTGACAAACAATATTGGTAGGCCAAAATTCAGGGC